AGTAAAAATCAGAAGAAAAATTTAAGAGTACATGAGAAAAGATGGCTAGGAATCTTGAAACTGTCTCATAAAGTAAGAACCAAAAGTGTCAGCAATGTTTGAGGAGTGAAAGATGCAAAAGGAAAACCAACTATGAGATTAATAGATTCCATAAAATAATGTATAGGTGTGAGTCTACAGGACTCTACTGGTCTCTGGCTCAATTTTATTCAATGACAGCATGATTTAGAAAGGCAATAGTACTGTTACCTCTCTCTCAGTCTTAAAAAGTCTTGGTAAAATTTACCTCCACAGTCACCTGATTTGACAATTCAGCCTAACTACCTAAATATAGAGTTGGCAGCATAGGTTTTCTACCAGGTGACAGGGACTTCTTCCCCAGCATCAGCACTGTGACATGTTGCTGAGTCTTCCTCATTCTCATTTGACTCACCCACCATTCATTATCACTCAAATCTTTATCAATGTCCAGGGCTCACTAATGAGATGGTGTGAACAGGAGAGAGAAATTCCTTTATTAAATGATCTTCATTTTAAAAAGATCTTCAAAAGCCACCTGCAAGTTGGACATACGCCATGAGAATAATGGGTGGCATTTTATGAAAAATAAAAACAAACTCTTCCTTTATTAAAAGTTCAGCATTTTCTAACATCTAACTGGATGTGTTGGGTCCTCTACATGGAAAATACCTACTCATTTGAAAGCACATACGACTCAATAGAAGAAACAGGCACATAAATAAATGGTTGTGATTCTGAGCCCCGGGTACTATTCTCCATGTGTGGAAAAGATGAGTTGGGGTGCAGAGCAGCATGTCAGCTGTTCTGGGGAGGTGGGATGACATAACCTAGAATACTCACAGAAGAGACATTTCACAGTGTCTAGAAAAAATGATACTTTCAAGGAGGAGGATAGCCACTTGTGGATAGGGTTGTTGTCTTTTTTAAGACAAAGAATATTTCAAGCACTTGGCTCTCCAAAGATGAGAGCTTGCAGATTTAGCTGTGCTAGTCTCTCTCGGTTCTTTCCACTCCAGTTCTCAGAATTCCAGCCAGTTAGCATCTCTGCCAGAGGAGATAAAAGAGACAGGCAGCAGTTACCTGTAACTTCTTAGTTACAGTAGAACTAGCAACATGCTGTCTGTGGAGCCAATAATATGGAAATAAGGAAATATGCATGGTCCAAGGGGTAGATATTTGGTGTTTTTTTTTTTTAAATACCAGTTATTATCACCATCAGGTAGCTCCTCATACCCACTGCAAGTATTCCTCATGCAAGTACTGCTTAAATGTTACTGTCAGGGAACAAAAATAACCTTGTGTCCAAAGGTCTTGACTGTCAGATAATTCACCATAATTGTTTTAGTAGAGGAAAAGGATAATTACATGTTGTAAATCTCTGTTTGTTCCGAATTTTCATGGTGGGAGAAACTGGCTGACTTTGCATGAGTAATCTAAACGGAGTCAAATTCTCAAGCACTTCACGATACCTTTTGCATTTAACAGTGTCACTAAAACTTTAAGGGGGATATTGTTGGAATAACTTAGGGAAAAATAATAAAGTGGTTAGTTTAAGGTAGTAATAAGTAAAGTGAGATTACTGAATATTCCTTTGTTTCAATTATGTGGGTGATGGTGAGGAAGCTATCAGGGATGCCAGTTACTCGTTAATCTTGGTTAGTGAGCATCATTGATCTATACACAAGAACTATTGGTACTTTCTAATCCAGTGTAAGATAAATGGTAAAGGAAAGGATTAAACAGTTTAAACAAACAAACAAAAAAATACAATTAGCAAATAAGCATATTTAAAAAATGATTATTCTCACTAATGAACAAAAAAATACTCATGTGTCAGATATATCATTTGCACTGATTAAATTATCAATTTTCTAAAAATTATAATGTCAGCCTGGCCAGTGTAGCTCAGTGGATTGAGTGTTGCCCCATTAACTGAGAGGTCCTGGTTCGATTCTGATCAGGCACATGCCCCGGTTGCAGACTTGATCCCCAGTAGAGGGTGTGCAGGAGGCAGCCGATCAATGTTTCTTACATTGATGTTTCTAGCTCTCTCTCTCTTTCCCTCTCTCTAAAAAAATCAATAAAAACATATTTAATAAATAAATAAATAAAAATTATAATGTCGGTGCTTGTAAGTTTGTGGTGAAACTGGTGTGTGTGTGTATTAGAAGCAATAAAATGGCACAAAGCTTTTGAAAATTAATAACATAAATCAAGGACATAATAAATTTTTAATTTGGAGAAAAACATTCAAAAGAAATTTAAACTAAGAAAAATCATTGATATAAGTATGTTCTTATATTACAGAATTCTTTATAATATTAAAACAATGGAAATAACCCAATACCTAACTCTTAAAGAATGGTTAAATTATATTTTTATAGGAAGTAACATTATATAGCACCAAAATAATAATTTTGGAGACCCTATCAGAACTGCTTAAATTATAATGTAAGGAGGAAAATGTAGGATATATAGTTATATATGTTCTGTGTATATATAAAACTATATGAAACTCGATGTCAGGAGCATAGAGTGAAAAGTATGTATACTTGGCAACAAGATGAGCTTTGGTTTTAATTCTGACTCCATATGTGCAAGCTATTGATCTCTGACAAGTTATTAAGTTCTATGTATTTCATTTTATTATACATACAATGGGGATACTCATACCTACCTCATAGGACAGCTGAAAGAATTAAATTAGATAATTCTGTAAAGCCTGGTACAAGGTAATGCAATTATGGGTGAATTTGTTTCTTTTTCTTATTTTGAGTTCTATTAATTTTATAATGCTGTTTTTGCAATCGAAAATGTATTTGAATTTAATATTGATCACCAAAGTTATACTAAAAAATATACACCTTGTAGTAGTGGCTATATGGCTAACTATAGTGATATAAATAATAATTTTTATTTAGTACCAAACATCTCAAATTACACATTGCTAAATCATATTAGTTTATTTATTTAACCAATATTTGTATAGCTTTTGTTACCATATAACAGGCCCTGTTCAAAACACTTAATTCATTGACTCACTATAACCCCATTTTAAAGGTGCTATCATATCTCAATCTTACAGGTGAGAAACTGACATTCAGGGAGCTTTAAGTAACTTGTGCAAGGTCACATTGGGACATGTGGTGGAGCTGGGATTTAAACTCAGGTCATAGCTACATGGTCCAGCTTCTGAATGTTATACTACTTTTCAACAGGCCAATCAAAATATGTCCACGCCCTGGCTGGTTTTGCTCAGCGGTTAGAGCGTCGGCCTGCGGTCCAGAGAGACCCGGGTTCGGTTCCCGCTAAGGGCACGTACCTTGGTTGCAGTTTGTCCCCGGCCCTGGTTGGGTCGTGCAGGCGGCAGCCACTTGATGTGTCCCTTTCACATCGGTGACTCTCTCTCTCTCTTCTTCTCTCTCCCTCCCACTCTATCTGAACAAAAAATGTCCTTGGTTGAGGATAAAAATTTTTTTAAAATAGGCCTCTTTTTAAAAACAAAGTAAAACATGTCTAGTGAACATGTGTGTTGCTTGGCACTGTGAGAGATGCCAGGAAACAAAGGATACAATCCTTATCCGGTATAAAAATTATTCTCTAGGTCTTAGCTACAGACCCAAAATTCTGCTCCCCCAACTCAGATAAATGCCATTCATGCCACAACTAAATGCTATTCATGGAGAGCCACTGCTTCTCACCCCTAATGACCCAGGTTCTAAGTGAAAATCTGGAGTCTACAGCTTGGCTTTCTGTGTCAGTATTTTCAGAGTACATGCTGAGAAATCCTAGCGTTGTGTGAAGGAGTGTCATGTTCTGCAAAGATTTGACTCAAGTTTCTCTTTATACATGTATTTGTGTATACACATCTTCATACACTCCATGCATATGTAAATAATATTGCAACTAAAATATTAAACTAATACTACAAACTAAAATTATACATTAAAGTATGTTTTATCATACATTTTAACACATAGGAATCCCACAATGCATTCTTTTATTGCAGTTGGGTTATCATTGTGCATACCTGAGATAAAAGTATTCCTGTATCTCTAATTGAAGAATTCTGAGATTGCAAAGCAAGTTCTTTCAAACCTGAAAAATTGTTATTATTGGGGAGGTGGTATATGATGGTTAAGAATAATGGCTCTAGAATCAGACAGTGTAGATGCCATTTCAGGCACAGGTATTTACCACATGACCTTGAATAAGTTTCTAAACCACTCTGTACTTTATTTTCCTCATCTGCTCAATAGGACAGTACATACCTCATAGGGCTATGAAAGATAAAAGTTGTAAGCACATAAACTTAGAAAAGTGACTTGGGCAATATAAGTGCTCAATAATGTTAGATATTGGAATTGTTGCAATGACTTATCTATAAAATCAGTCTTTGCTTGTTACCATGCAACCAAAACAAAACATGGGATTACATTAAATTCTAAGGTTAATAAGCAACTAGAAATCTCATTTTTCAAGTTTTTGTGTTTATTCAACAACTGAATTGTTATTAATTGTACAAATAAGTGTTGCAAGTTTGAACTAATAAATTTATACTAGTTGAATACTACACCAATTTGCAAATTTGCTCTTTTAAAATTTTGCTTGGAAAAAAATGTTCTGTGCTAAAAAAATAATACATTGCATCATAATGAAGTTTGCTTTTATGCTCTATTTTGTCCTTTTTCAAGGAGAAAATATTACCTTTTCTAAACATGTCTGTTTCTTTTTATGTCTATTTGTGATTTAAAGCTTACTTTTGAATAATGCATGTTGAAACAAGTTATATGGAAGTAGTAACCCTTTATCTGGAAGGTTGTAGTTTGGGGGATTCTACTTACCACTAAAAGAACAGCAATTTAATCTCTAATATACTTCCTTCAAGATTGGTTCTTTTCTTGACAATAGGACTGATTTAAATGTGTGAAGGCATTTTCAATAAATGATCTATGCTTGTTTCCTTTCTTTTCTTGCAGTCATTCCCAACACAGCACTACAACCCGGCAGCCTTCCGTGACTCTCCAACGGGCCATCTCACTGGAAGGGTAAGATCAGAACAATACGAAGCCTTCTCTCACACTAGACTGCAGCCTCATCATTTCAAGCACAGAGAAAGTCCTCCTTTCTTTCCTTTTCTCCCTCCCTATCTCTTCTCTCATTCTCTCTCTCTCTTTTTCTTTCTCTCCCAGAAAACATCGGTGAATTTCATGGTATATGCCAAACACTGTACTGTGTAGTAGATTTAACAAGTCAAATTAGACCTCTTTATTCCCTCCAGAGGGCTCATTGTCTAGAAGGAGTGACAGAAATAAATATACATACTTGTATACAGCGGAAGCATCTCACAGGAGATGCACATGAGGGGCTAATGGAGGATTCGGGAAGGTTATCTGCTGAGAATGGGTATGAGAGAGGGAGGGAGGAGCAGGTCAGGATGGCTTCAGTGAAGATATAACTCTGAAGCTGAGAACTGAAGCGTCTGTGGCTATGAAAGGAGGGCGCTCAGAGCACGTGCACAGTCGTGGCCACCTGAGCAAGCATGCGGAGTGCAAAGGCCATTGAGTGTCTCCATGCTGAGGCACAGGGTATGTGAGGCCGTGCCAGTGACAATGGAGATGTTGGCTGGGAGGGTTTACATGTGGAGGACTTAGTATCTTGTATTTCTAAATTTCCCAATCAGATAAAAGCTAGAGGGGCTAGGAGGAAGGGGCTACTGTTTCTTTCCACTCCCCTTATACTTGCAACTGGTTTAATTATGAACATTTAAGTGGTTAATGTATAAAAATTATTTTATTTTTCCAATATCTGTTAGTTACTATGCTTTAGTTAATCCTGTTTCCCAATTAGTCTTCCCTAGTGGCATTTCAATGCTTATCTCTAACTTTATAATGTATTAGACCTTTCCACTTTAAAATCTTATGTTTTATTCAGATCTCTGTCCTCCTTCCAATATGATTAAATCTTGGATTCCACCAAAGTGTTCTTAGAGGTGATAGAGGTATTATCTGTGCGCAAGGGCGCTCTCTCTCTCTCTCTCTCTCTCTCTCATATCTTCCTCTAGATCAGCTATCTTCAACCTTCTTCATCTCATGACACACAAAAACTAATTACTAAAACTCTGCAGAACACCAAAAAATATATTATTTTTTGCCAATCCGACAAAGCAAACAGGTATAATTTTGATTCATTTACATTGAACGGCTATTGTTGTGTTGGCTGTTGTCATCTTTTAATTTGACAGTCTAAGGGAAAAGAGGTCAGTGCCCCTGACTAAACAGTCAGGCATTGCATGTTTTAAAAATTCTTGAGGCACACTAGTTGAAAATCACTGCTCTAGCTCTTTCCCTTAGATTTATTCTTTGGTAATAATGGGGCAAAAAGAAGGAAAAGAGAAATGGCATTTCCTTACCATTCAACTGTGGCTGTCTCCTTTCTGCTTATTATCTCTGGTGATGTAGTCTGGGTAGGTGCAGAACCAGACATGCTGAGATTCATTGCCTCCAAACTGGTGGTTGGTACCCTGGGGGACTCAGCTGTTTCTTCCACAGAATCCTTAGTGGTAGCACACTGTAGTCCCTTGATGTGCTCACCACTTTATCCAAGCTGCAGCAATCCCTCACAAGCCCAGAATCCTCCTTTCTCACCTCTCCTCAGCAGCTTCAGATGTGAGGTTTGCAAGCATGAGCAGCATCCTTCTTTTCTACCCCGCAGGCAGAACTTTCCAGATAGTCCTTGCCTCCTCTCTCCCCTGGATGACCTCATCTTCTCTCTCCCCAGGTTCTTTTCCAATATCAGTAATAACAGGGCAAGTCAGCAGACTCCATGGTTAAGTGGACATCCACCTGGGAGGGTGTTTCCTGTTTTTTTTCCCCCTGAAACAGCATGACTTTCCATGGCGTGCCCTTTATGCCTTCAGCTAAGGAAACCCATTGAATTTCCCCAAACCCATGGAAAGGCAAGGGAAAAGAATGTGGCCATTCCATGAACACTGCACTCCCTCCAAAAGTTTACCTATTTCTGCCTTGGCCAGTTTGGCTCAGCCGTTAGAGCATCATCCCATGTACCAGAGAGTCCCGGGTTTGGTTCCCACTCAGGGCACATGCCTCTGTTGTAGTTTGTCCCCGGCCCCGGTTGGGGTTGGGTGGGTGGCAACCAATCAATGTGTCTCTTTCTCTTCCTCCCTCACTCCCTCCTGCTCTATCTGAAAATAAATGCAAAAATGTCCTCAGGTAAGGATAAAAAAAATATGTGTATGTTTTTAAAAACAAGTTTCTCCTGCTAGTTCCCCTCTTCTTGTTTCGATGATAAAAGAGAAAGAGAAAGAGACAGAGAGAGAAGAAAGAGAGAAAGAAGAGAAGAGAAGAGAAGAGAAGAGAAGAGAAGAGAAGAGAAGAGAAGAGAAGAGAAGAGAAGAGAGAAGGAAGGAAAGAAAAGAAAAGGAAAGGAAAAGGAAGGAAGGAAAGGAAGGAAGGAAGGAAGGAAGGAAGGAAGGAAGGAAGGAAGGAAGGAAGGAAGGAAGGAAGGAAAAGGAAGGAGGAAGAACACAAAAAGAGAGAGATGAAGGTCATATGTTCAATACAGGGTAGGGCAAAAGTTGGTTTACAGTTGTTCTTATGGAAAATAATACAATAAATAAATAATAATACAAGAATAAACTCTGTGTTTCACATATTCACAACTATAAACCTACTTTTCCCCCATCCTGTATAACTTAGCTCTGGAGAATTAAACAACTTTTTCTCAGCAGGACACTATCTCCATTGTAACATTTGTTCCATTCCATGAGAAAAAAACAAGAAGAAATTCTCAGTCAATCCTTCATGGCAGTTGGTTCTGTAATAATATATAAGGTGGCCTATACCATGGATCCAAGTTAGACTCCCAAGTTTAAACCCTGGCTCTGGACCTTACTAGCTACTTGGTTTCTTCGTGTCTCTGTTTCCTCATCTGTAAAATGAAGATACTAATAACAATTCTTTAAAGGGGTTTTTAAAGAATGAAATTCATATGTATTATTTTTTTAATAGTACTGGCATTATGTGGGTGTTTATTATAGTAATCATTCCTGTTGTTATACCTATATATATTTAATTTATCAGATAAAGAGTTTCTTATTTATACTAAATACGTTTGTTAAAGCAGTCAGGGACTGGTGTCTCCACCATACTTTGGAGAGGCATATTCCTATATACACAGCTAAGAATCATTTGTGGAGGCAATCCAAATCATTGTTTGAGGCTGCTCCATTGTCCTGTTAATAGTTGCATAAAATATTTTAATTACCAGTGATACCTCGGTTCTCGAACATAATTCGTTCCAGGAGGACGGTCGAGAACCGAATTGTTCGAGAACCGAAGCAATGAAACCAATAGGAAAGCGTGACTCCACAAAGCGTGACTCTCTCTCTGCACTCACACTGATGACGCAAGCAAGGCGCGCTGGGCCAAATGAACGCCATTCGGCTCAACTCGGCTCATCTCGGAAGTTCGAGTTCCAAATATTTGTTCGGATTCCGAGACAAGTTTCTCGAATCTCCTGGTCGAATACCGATTTGGTCGAAAACCGAGGCGTTCGAGAACCGAGGTATCACTGTACCAAGATTATACTTAAATGCTTATTAAACACTTTAAAGAATAACTGAGCATTTTCTAAGTATCAGCTTATTTTCAGCTCCAAAAGAAAGAAGTTAGGACCAGAATAAGAAATACTGTTACATTTCTAGTGTATATATCTCAGGAAGTTTAAGACAAAAGAGACCTCTTGAACACACAAAATAATCTCCCCAGCCTGGGAATATCCTCGAATTGAACTTGAGGATCCGTAGACCTCTGCAGGGCAAGTTTGTGTGACCTTGTGACTGCATCTTCTATACCGCTCTACTCAATTGTATGTTTCTGGAAAGTGTTGTGCTTCAGAAAAACTACTGCACAAAACAAGCTGCTGGTCACATCCTCCAAAGGACTGGGATCAGTTTTGAAGTCCACACATCAAATCGGACATGTGGAAAGAGTCTAGAGAGGATATCCAGAGTTAACAAACGGAAGTGCAGCATTCTGTTAAGAACATAGTGACAGTGTCAGGATTCTATATTTACAGGAAGGGGCATTTCATAGGGTGCTTAATGAGGTTATAATCAAAACGAGCAGTCTGGCCCAGGAGTTGAGCATTGACCCATGCACCAAGAGGTCACTGGTTCGATTCTTGGGGCACATGATCAGGCTGTGGGCTGGATCCACAGTGGGAGGCATGTGGGAGGTGACCAGTCGATGTTCTCTCTCATCAATGTTTCTATCGCTGTCTCCCTCTCCCTTCCTCTAAAACAAAATCAATTAAAAAAATTTTTTTTTAAGTATGCACTTGTTAGGAATAAATATAGTACAAATTCATGGATATTCTTTCAAGGAAAGAGAAAAGAAATGAACATTTACTGAGTGCTTATTAGGTGGCAGGCTATATCTATTTGTCTATTGATTGATCAATCTACCCATCCATCTATCTGATTTTATTTCCAAAATAGTCTTATAAAATAGGCAGCCTGTTTTCTAAATCTTGATTCACAAAGAAGTTAAGTCATTTTCCCAGAGTACCTACATCGAAAGTACCAAGCTTGGATTTGAAGTCAAATTTGACTCCACTGTACAACTCCATCCCTATAATGTGACATGAAAAGCCTTTATTGAATTGGTCATGACATTTATAAAACACATTCATGGTAAGTTAGGCATAATGAAGAAATGCCTAGGGTAAAAGTGACAGAGAACTAGAACTGACTCTAGGCCTAGAAGTCATTAAATAAAATTAAAAACCCACCATTTGGGATGGGTCTGAGAGTCCATGTGCATGCTAAGTGGCTGAGGTGTTGTTTGGGGTAGAGGTGAGGGTGTGACTGAGCTTACCACTGGTCTCTACCTCACCTTCCTTATTGTTTATGAAAGCATCCATTGGCTGGGTGGCTGTCATTCCACATTTTGGTCATTAGCACAGAGACCTCCTCTAGATATGCTAAGTAAGAGCATCTCCTTCTAAAGCTATTTGCAGATCTTTT